AAAAAAAACTAGTGATGAGAAAACAACACCCAAAGCAGCCCTGCAGCAGCAAGCGAGGAGAGGAGGCCGGGAGGCGAGGACGGCACTTGGCCCGGCACACAAAAAGCAAGCCGAGGTCCGCTGGCACTGCCGCCTCCTCCACGGGTCCCGGAGGAAATGCCGTGCCTAAGCGAGGGGGGGGGAGCCCCCCCCAGCCCTGCTCAGCCTGCAGGCACCTCTGCCATCCTGACACCGGGGGGGGGAGGGGGGCACCACAAAGCGGCTGCTGCCGGAGGTGAAGCCGGCCCCAGAGTGCCAGGGAGTGAGGTCCTGCATCACTCTAACAGGAACTCTTTTGACGTTTCAGGCAGACGCTCTGCTTGACAGGATGCCTTTTGAAACGGACATATCGTTCCACTGTGTCTTCTGGCACGCACAGATTCTTGGGCCATGACGGAAGCCGCTGCCAGAGCTGCACAGCCAATCAGATCTCCAACTGCCAACCAGAAGCCCTGCCGGGCAAAAGCCCTGCACCTGGCCCCGCCTACTTCCTAGGGACACCTGGAGGGCACCAGGAGAGGTGTCGGCAGCGGGCCCCGGGGGTGTGTGTGTGTGCTAAGCCACACCTGCTGCCCACTCCTATTCTGCCCGCCCCAGCAGCACAGCGAACCCCTCAGAGGCTCCCTCTGGCTGCTCGGTCAAGACGGGCCCCGGAAGGAGGGACTGCAGTGGCCCCCGGAAACGCCTCCCCCGCCACGAACCTTGTGCGTCTTTCAGGGGTTCCCAGCCTCCGGCTCTTTCCTGGCCGCCTGGGTGAGGGGCCCGCCCTCTGTGCACCCGGCCATGCAGCTTGATGCACCCCAGTGTGGCACCTGTGCAGGGGGCCGCTTACCCCTGCTGTACTTCTCTGCGTGCTGTAACATTTTGCCCCACAATCAGGAAGCATAGGACGCGCAGTGACAGCAGCTGAGGTAAACGAATGACTTTTGAAAACACAAAGTACACGACACGTTCAAAAGAGGATGCAATCATCTGGATATTCTGCACGCGCAGCCTCTGTGTCTGTAAGGAGGGCTGGCCCAATGCATTCTAGTAACCGTGAGAACCCCAAGCAGCCCCACTCAATTAACAGATTAATCAATGTGGTCCACACTCCAACAGAGAGCTCCCATGAAGTCAGCCCTGCGGAACTAAACAGTCCTGTCCATTTCCAGGGAGAAGTTCCTGCAGATGGACAGAGCCTCCTGCACCTTGTGCCTTGGACAGAAAGAACGCCCTCTCGGTCTAGCGCTCAGGTGTCTGTTTTCTTATATAAAAGGATCGGGGGGGGGGGAAATAAAATGGATTACCTCTCTTTCTCTTTCATTCTTAGAGAGCTGCATCTGCTTGAGCATCTGAGACCTCTGTTCCATCACAAGAGTCTTCTCATACGTAAAGGCTGAAATATCATTTTCAAACTGGAAAAGTAAATAAACATTATTCGTACTGAAAAGAAAACAAATTATGCTGCAATCCATTACATTTAGCCAACAAGTATTAACCAATAACTCCTTCAAGGGCAGCTGCGGTAGCTCAAGGGGTTAAGACGCCGAACTGCAGGCTGTGGAAGGTCGGTAGTTCAGCAGTTCAAGACCCGGGTGCCGCATGATGGAGTGAGCTCCCGTCTCTAGTTCCAGCTCCTGCCAACCTAGCAGTTTGAAAGCAAGACATTGCAAGTAGATAAATAGGTACCACTTCGGTGGGAAGGGAACAGTGTTCCATGCGCCTTGGTGTTTAGTCATGCCAGCCACATGACCAAGGAAACGTCTTCGGACAGCGCTGGCTCTTCGGCTTGGAAACGGAGATGAGCACCGCAACCCTAGAGTCGGACTCGACTGGCTTTCGAGCAAGGGAACTTTAATAAAACTGTAGAGCCAAGCTGTTCTATTTTTACCCCCCCCCCCCCGGAAAACTGATGCAGACCCTCACAGCTTTTAACAGGAGACAGTAATTCTTTTAGACCGCTTTACCGGACTAGTGTATTACTCCTGCACGCGAGGAAACAGTGAGGCCTTCTGCTGGTTAGCTTCCATACACTGTCGTGAACGTTAAAAATTACACATCTTTAATAAAACTGTAGAGCCAAAAAATACAAAGATAGACTAATATATCAAATTCACTAAGAAACACTACGGAACGTATCTAAGAAAATACTGCCTTCCTGGAGAATGATGCCACCAGAGATATATTAACACTTTCTGTCTGTGGATTGAATTAGGAGCGTTTGTCTTGCAATTGCAGCGCACCAGAACCGACATGCTGCTACCAAAGCAAACTGGTTAACAAACGGAACCGGCTGCTAAAAGTCAGTGAGAGACCGAGGAGGTTACCTTCCGTGAGGTGAGGAGAGGTCATCAGTGTAGCTCACAACAGTGAGAAAAACCTAAACTGAGTTCAGCAGAGGGTGTGTCATGATTTCAAAGCCATGCACAGCAAGTAGCCTGTCTGCGGAATGCAGGGCAGATGAGGTGAAATCTTCTACTGAACCAGCTCGGTTAAAGGGCATACCCTGTCACATTTCTCTGCTTGACACAAATATCCAGACCGGTATGTGAATTAGAAGTTGTGACTAACCCCACGCTCAAATGCATATTTACATTACTCTTGCACGGGTCATTTATAAATGATCAGAAATATCAACTTGCTTCCTCTAGTGATGTATGAAAACAAGGGAAGACTCTTATCTGCACGGGAATGGCTGCCGCCGTAAGAAGCTGCAGAGCCGGCCGCTGTCTCCGAGAGGGCGTGGCCAACGGGCCAAAAATACCCGAACCGAGGAGTCGGCAGCTGGAGATTCCTGTAACCCAGGAGGTCACCAGAGAGGTCCCTCATCCCACCACTAGTTGACAATGCGGAGGCAAAAGAGAAAGCATCTTCCGGATTTGTCCGATCCTGGGAGTTCTGGGGAGGAGTCCGGGGCTGCAGCGCCCTCCAGGTGGACCCTCCCTGTCATGCCTCAGTGGGTGCTCACCCGTCTCCCTCTCCCCCGCCGCACCCAGGGCCTTACCACAGGCGTCTGGCCCAGAGCCCGGCTCTCCCTCCTCCCTGGCCCTCCATCAGACTGCCTTGAAAAGGCCACTCTGGAAGAGGAGCAACCCCAGGCCCCTCCCATTCCTTTGTCCTTACGTGGGGGCCCTACTGACTGGGTAGATGAGGGTGAGGAGGGGCCTCTGCCCTCTCCCACACCTTTGAGGGCCTGCGTCTCCAGCCCCGCCAGGGCCTTCCCTCCACTGCACCGCCCCTCCTCCCACGCGCTCGGGGTTCTGGTCTTGGGGGCCAACTGGCCACTGCCTCCCATCCGCCGCTGCCTCTCTCTCCCTGGAACCGTCCCCTGCTGCCAGTGTGCTGGGTGGCTGGGACTTGGGCCACTTGGCCACTTGCCCCACCACTCCCTGCTGTGGCTCTGATGGAGCCCGAGTGCCTCTTTGCTAGTGCCACGGGCTCCTGGTGACTCTCCCCTGGCGATCCACCCAGTCGCCACTGCCTGCTGCGTTCCAGAGCTCTGCAGAAGAGCCAGCAACGTGTCCTCCCATCAAGATGAGTGTGCGTGTGTGTGTGTGGGGGAGCAGAGCTGCCCCCAGACAGTATTATTTATTAAATTCTTATTCCTCCTTTCCTGCAAAGAGCTCTAGGATGCATCTGAAATCCCGCTTTCCCCATATTTTGGGCAGATTATACTGAGAAGGATAAAATGTGGTTTGGATCCTATGACTGTTAGGCAGATCTGTAACTGGCTGACAGATCGCACCCAAAGAGTGCTTGTGAATGGTTCCTCATCCTCTTGGAGAGGAGTGACAAGTGGAGTGCCTCAAGGATCTCTCCTGGGACCTGTTTTGTTCAACATCTTTATCAATGAGTTGGATGAAGGGATAGAGGGAATGCTTATTAATATTTGCAGATGATACTAAATTGGGAGGGGTAGCAAATACAGTAGAAGACAGAGTCAGGATACAGGATGATCTTGACAGGCTGGAAAAGTGGGCTAAAACAAATAAAATGAATTTCAATGGGGATAAATGTAAAGTTCTGCATTTAGGTAGGAAAAATCAAATGCATAATTATAGGATGGGGGAGACTTGTCTTGGCAGTAGTATGAGCAAAAAGGATCTTGGGGTCTTACTAAACCATATATCAAACATGAGTCAGCAGTGTGATGCGGTAGCTAAAAAGGCAAATGCAGTTTTGGGTGGTATCAGCAGAAGTATAATGTCCAAATCATGCAAAGTGATGGTATCGCTTTACTCTACTCTGGTTAAACCTCACCTAGAATATTGTGTTCAGTTCTGGGAAGCACAACCAGAACCAACAGGTTGAAATTAAATCAGAAGAGTTTTCGGCTAAACAATAGGAAGAACTTTCTGACAGTCAGAGCGGTTTCTCAGGGAAACAGGCTTCCTTGGGAGGTCGTGGGCTCTCCTTCTTTGGAGGTTTTCGAACAGAGGCTAGATGGCCATCTGACAGCCATGTGGATTCTGTGAACTTAGGCAGATCCTGAGAAGGAGGGCAGGAAGGGCTGCATCGGTGCTTAGTTCTTGTGGCCCTTTCTTACACCCCCAAGGAAATGCTGATTGTCGCTTTGGGGTCAGGAAGCAATTTTTTTCCAGGCTGGTTTGGCCAGGGATCCTGGAGGGGTTTTTTTTGCCATCTTCTGGGCATGGAGCCCTTCCAACTCTATGATTCTATGAACTGAAATCTAGGTCTGCCTTGTCTATCCCACACTGATTCTTTGCAGCAGCAGAATTTTCTGACAGGTCACCCCTTTTTAAAAGTGGCCCTTCAGAAAAAGTAGTGACTGCCCAGAGTGGTTGTAAAAAGTAAATTACAAAGTACAGTGTTATCTGTCCCTCACTGGGATTGCTACTTAATCAAATGTGATCACTAATCAAAGCTTGTTGATGTGCCCTGCCCCTGACCCAGAGGAATCTGCAGCCACAGAACCACATCCCATTGGGAGCACCATGGGGTGACGTCAGCAGCGGGCAACATTGGCTCTCGGAAGCCCAACACTGGCTGGAGGCATCAAGCTCGTCAGCTGGGGAGGCGGAGTGGGGTGTGTGTGTGCGCGTGTCTAAAGACTCAGGGGCTTGGTGGCTGAGGGGGAGGAGCTTGCTCTATAGATGATGCCAGTTAGGTGAGCATTCTGGATAATCAAATGCCAGATAACGAAGCTTACGTGACTATTGTTGAACCCACAGAACCCTGCATCTGAATGGTGGCCAAAGGAGTGCATTGGAACTCCTAAGGGAGACCCACCTGAGCCCTGATACTACACATAAGCCTGATAAAGAGAACAGAGACCTCCTTGTTCTAGCAGACATTTTGGAATGAATAACTGCGGGAGCGGTGGCGCAGTGGGTAAATCCCCTGCATAACTATAACATCTGAACTGCCAAAGCTTTGTCAGTTCTAGCCCCGTGCTGGTGTGAGCAACCAGGCCTGTCCCTAGCTCATCGTCTACCCAGCGATTCGAAAGCTTCGGCAAGTAGATAAATTGGGGACCACCCATAAGGGGGTGGGCACACCACTCCCCTTGGGCGGTGTTAGCTGCCAAGCGAGACATCTGTGGCACTGATCAAAAGAAACTGGAAAAATCTGTTTTGGCATTCCCTGCAGTGGAGCGAATCGGCCAGGTGGTGGCAGTGCGACATCGAGAGCCCTGACGTCATCAGCCAGCCGACAGAAATACATGCTGTCGGGACATGACTGATACAGCCTGCAGAGGGATCCTCCGACCAGCTACAATGTGTGTGTGATTAAATATTGTATGTTGTCTTCCCTATCCCCCACGAATATATTGTTAGGCCATTGTCTTCTGAGTAACTGTAAATCGCTCTGAGCCCGCATGAGTGGGAAAAAGCGATCAATAAATTGAAAGTATTATTATTATTATTGCTTTCCAGCCTTTGGTTTCAATTATCACTGAAATCTTCTTAGGGGTAATATCTAATATACCTATGCTGTATTCTTTTGTTCGTAAATGGTTTTCGGAGTTGTGCTGGGATTCCCATAAGGGCATGAAAAGTGGGGTTAAAACGTATAAACAAGCAGGACCTTTTAACATTTGAGATTTTAAACAGTGTTTATAAGTTGAGAGAAATTTTGGATAGATTTCTGGGCAGAAATATAATACTTTACCATTTCAACAACCTCCACCTCAGCATTAAGTCGGAGATGGTACAAAAACATCTGAAGATCCTTTTTCATCTGAATACTATTGTCGTCCATTTGAGCTACAGTGAAAATGCGCATTTTACATTTTCTCCATACCTGTTAACAGAAATGAACATTTAATTAGAAAAAAAGTGGGTGGGATTTAGTCTAGGTTGTAGGTTTTACTTATGTCTCAAGTTCCCCAAAATTTCATCTAAAAATACTTAACAAGTATGTTCCCAGCAACTGTAATCGGGATTCCTACAGTTATGTGGCTTGCTGGGGGTGGCAGGCCACCCTTTCACCAGTGCTTTCTTCTCTTCTTGAGATTAATTTCCACAGTTTGTTCCACAAATGGTGCTGGCTCTGGCCAGGGACATAACCCAGCAGGGTTATGGAAGAATGTCACTTTAAGACCGCAAGTCATAGTATCGGGGATTAACAGAGCAAATGTCTCTTCCAAAGATCACCATCTTAGAGGTAAGTTTTCTGATGACACCTACTGAGCTGTCACAAAATGGCTGCCTGTTTTTCATCCCCCCCCTCCCTTTTGTAGGGA